AAATAAGAAAAGATCTTTTATGAAGTATAAAACTGCGTACTGATGACCAGACAAATATTTCGTTAATATCCAAATGTTGAACGTTTTCATGCGGGAATTTTTTTCTGTCGTCATATTGTTTCTCAGCTTAATTTCAATGTATTGTGTTTCTTTGTAATCGCATTTTGTTTTATGTATATGTCTGTTTATTTTGATAAATGAGCTTTTATGAGGGAGGTAATAAATTTCTTAAGATCTTTATCAAGATGCAATTCCTCGTAATAACGCTAACGGGGCTTGTATTAACATGTAATTATTGAGATAAACAATGTTAAATTGAAAACGAAGGAAATGATGAAATTTGATACAAAATGATCGAATATTAATATCATGTAAAAAAATTAATTAAAAAATAATATAATTTATGAAAACTAATTAAAAATTCTTAAAGAAAACTAAATTTTATACACATAACTTCAAATTCAAACATCAAATACATAAAAATTATATAACGAAAAAATTATGTGATAAAACATCATGCATATATCTAAACAGTGAATTTCAAAAGACTTTTTATACATTTCAATAAACAAGTAATTTACTGGCGTCAAGCCTTATCAAGCCGCTCAAGGAAAAAAAAAAAAAAATCCCTCAGAATCTAAATATTTCTTATTTCTTCATGGAAATTATAATTTTCACCGACTCTGCTCGGTCGTTCTTGGAACTCCACGTACTCTCGAGACACTCCACGCTACAACTCGCGATGCACTCGACGACACACAGAGCACACTCCCAACTCTTCAGTTCAGTCGCTCCAGGAGCTCAACACACTCTCTCGACGATGCACTAACTACGATACACGAAGAGACTCTTTCGATGCACTCGCTGCCCGGTTCGATCAACTCGATCGACTCCGCACGGACTGACTAATCGAGACACTAACTATCTCGAACTAGACGAGTCACTCTCACTGACTGCGGACCAGCAGGGTTTATATAGCTTTCGGCTTGTGTTCGAGAACATTCTGGGCTAAACCGGTAAGAATTCGTTCCAGAAGGTTCTCCATCCGTCCATGGTATATCGCCAATTTTGTCGCCAAATGTGGCAGCCCTGCCTTCCCTTGCCATTTTATGGCAACCATAAACCTGCTTTGAGGGGAAGCCATCTCACCGCGCCTGTACATTTCGTAATAATACTTACTGGTGTCTTCAATTCAGAGTAGTTTGTCATTTGATCATATCAGTATTTTGCTTTCTTGAGTACAACTTTGTTTCATGCCATTTGGCCAAAATTTTCGCCAAGCATTTTGTAACGTTGTACTGTTGACATATTTCCAAGCCATTTCGAACAATTTCGAACATTTCGAACAATTCGAATTTTCCACCAGGAAAATTGCCATTTCTGTATTGAACTGAACTTCCTGAATATTTTATTAGAGTTTAATAACGATTTCTTACATTTAAAATTTTGAGTAACTTCTTGATCCATAGAGACCGGTTCCAACGTTTTCAGAGCCCTACACGATGATTATAGTCAACGCCCTGTAAAAATTAAACGTATTAATAATTTAAAGCGAAATAAGTTTTCTAAATTTCTCGCTTGTGATAACAACACAGTTGGCGCCCTAGATAGGTATTTTATATTACTTATACCGCAGCTGGGCTTGCATAGATTAATTTAATACTTACCAGCTCTAGGCGTATTATTAAAGCCACATTCTTCCATTAAATTTTCTTATCAATACTTTTATTAAGTTTTGAAAATATTTTAGACAAACAAAGGTAGAGAAAGCAAATGATATACAAACACGAAATTTCGGAAACAATTAACTAAAAATGGAAAATGAAGCGTAGCAACTGCTAAGCTTAATAAATAATAAGAGTGCCCGCTTTTGGTAAGAGTATTGGTGAAAGAGGTGCCGAATTATTGGATATGCCGAACTACTGGATGCCAGATTAGTGGACGTATACTGTGAGTTTTGCTTCCCTACCAGAGGGCATTTAATATGCAGGCTAAGATCTGCACCTTGATAGTCTCATCTCTTTGGGCAGAGGGCTAAACAAAACACTAAGATGAGAAGGACTACCTTGGATTGGCGCTGCATGTCATAAGCTAACGGTACAGATGAACCGCCTTCCCAGGGTGCTGTGCCCCTAACCGACTATATTACTCGATTTTGGACTCCGTGATAAACAGTATGTACAAAATCAAGAGAATTTGCACCAGTAAAAGTCATAGCGCAGAGATGTCCAAAATCTACATTGTGATATCAAACTAAAAATGAGTCTATCATGTGCTATGGTCCCCTTTCACAGTGAGGAAGATCGTGCAACGGGATGGTTTACTGAACAGGAGGCAGCTGAGGAATCCTTGTGGCAGTCGACTCCACTCCTGCAGCAAGGTATTTTTCAACTTCGGAATATTTCTCAGAGAGGGATGGCGAGATGAAATTGCCATTCAAGAGTGTCCCAGATATACTGTATAGGGTTACGGTCAGAAGATGAGGCTGGTCAATCCTTGTGGCGAATATCCTCGCTCTCTAGGTAATCGTAGACAACTGACTCCTATGTGGACGAGCGTTGTCGTCCATCGACTGGAGCCCAAGACCAACCGCACCCCTGTAAAATCAAATATAGAGCTCTAAGATCTCCTTTCTATACCTCATAGCAGTCACGTAGCCTTGGTCAAACACATTCAGGGGTGTGCGGCCGTCTAATATGATGCCTGCCTAAACCATTACACCTCTACCGTAATGATACTTTTCTCTAATAAAGAAGGGATGTATTGTGTTCCATGCCTTTTCCAGATAGTACGCCGAGAATTAGTGTACAGGCTGAATCTTGACTTATCTGTAAAACGCGCGGGCGGTGCTCCTCCACCATGCTTTTGGTCCAAGGTGCATGTTGTCTGCACCATGCTCAAGGGCTTGCTCGGGCACTGCGGTGAGGAAAACACGAACAGCAAATCTTCGAGCATACGGCCTTACGTCATGAAGACTTAGGGCAACTGTAGATCAAGAAACTCAGGTTCCAGTGGCAGCATACAGCTCACATTAGAGCTGTGAAGTTGTAGCAGTCCTGTATCCTCGTGCTTAAAGTGCCAAATAGCATTCTTCATTCGTCGGTGTGGATCTTGGTCGACCTTTTGCAGGTCGTTTCGATATGGATTCAGAGTTCAGAAACTGTTTCACAAATTGCAGACGACACTGAGCGTAACATTGAGCTCTGTAACCATCTGCACTTGGGATTGACATGCCTCCAGCGTACCGACAATTCTCCGTGTCATTTATAAAATTTACCCAAATCTTGCGAGAAGTCCGGCGAAAGTCGTAAAGAATTACAAGCACACAAATCACCAAAAATTTCTTTCGCACTTATGTCACTCCCACCCCACAGTCACAACTCCGCATACACAGACGTGTATGCTTACATTTTTCGAATCTGAATATTTATATAATTTTTCGGCGGCATAATTAGTGCCTTTAGTTCAATACTTTTCCTAAAGATAGACATACTTTGCAAATTCTCTTAGTTCTATGAGTGTAGTTCAATTTGTCCTGTAAATAATTTTCTTGAACGCCATGTTTAAACTTATTTTTCTTATTCGTAATAATAAAGTAATTTTCAGTATTTCATTTTACTGCTATTAAAACTGTGTTCCTTTTGTTTAGTACACTGATTTAATGTGCGTAACCAAATGAGATTATTCTCCAGTTTAAACCATATGAGATCACAAGTAAATTTTTAATCCGGTTTTTCGGTTAGATAAAATATGGGTTATGCTTTTTTCAAAGTCTTTTAACCGCTGTCGAATTAATCATGATTCTGAATTAATCATAGACGTCGTGAAGTTGACAGTTGAAGAAAAGTCTAGAATCGCCTCTTATGATAGGTTGTATCATAAGGAAGATGCATTGTCACCATGGTAACATCAGTGAAGGCACATAAAAAAAAGAATAGCAAATATACATGGTACAATATTACAGTTAAGAAAAACAAAAGTCCTGAGCAAATATTTATTATGTGAATTTTTTTCACAATTGTATTCGAATATTCTGAACTCCTACAAATGACGTTAACGATCAACAAATGAATTTCAGGCAAGTTTCACCACTTTTGACGTTTTATGTCATTTCATTCTGATGCTGGTTATAAATTTTCAAATATTAATGGACATTTTTCAAATATTAACTTTTTTACCTTTTTGAGACCGATATAGATAAAATTTAGGAATTGAACAAATTTAAAAGTTCTGAATTCTGAAATTCATATAAGGTGTATATTTTTGATACTCTTAGATCTAAACGAATTTTTTTCCAGCAAGGCTTGCGATGCCTCACTGCTAATCTTTTCTCCCTACTAATTAATAGTATCAGTACCGATCGTCTGTTTAACGTAAAACGATATATATATATATATATATATATAATTACAATTATACTTCAGGAAGTTCAATAAATAAATAAAAATAAAAAATACTTATTTCTCTTTTCAACAAACTTTGTTAGAAAACAAATGCGTTGGTTCTTCCTTACGTTACATCGTTGCCAAATATAAAACCTTAATTTCTTTTATCTTGCTGAAGACTGCGATCCATTAAATGTAACAAATATGGACCAAAACTTCTTTAAAATGCAAATATAAATGAAACAAAAAGTTGATTACAATACAAGCGGTTTCACATAAAAATATTTACTATTGTTAAAATAAAAATTATTACGTCCAAAAATACACAGTCAAAAATAGTTATTTATCTCAAAAAATTAGACTTAAAATTTCATTTTAGAAACGTTAGTTTTAATTGGGGTTAAATAGTAACTGATTTATTTATTTCATAAGGACACATTTTCTGCATTTAAAATTAACCTAAAAAAAATCCGGTATCTCTTGAAAATCAACATTTAATTTAAAACATAACTAATTAAAACTTTAATCCGCGTATTCACGTTCATCACATTCAAGAAATTTAAAGATTGAAAAATACCTTTTTTGAATAAATGTGATAAAAATGGAAAAACTTACCTATGTGGAACAATCAGTTTTAAGAAATGGTCTCATAAACTGGCGCCTAGGCGCTTCGAATTAGAAAAAAAATCACTTTCTTAAGTTAGCGCACGGAGTTCGAAAGGAATACTATATGCGATCTCAGAAGAAAATGGGCAAACCGCGTCCTTATTCAGGTATATATACTTAGTTGCCACATCTATCCACATCTGTTTACTGCCGCTGCAAAATATTACGTCATAAATGCGCTCTGTTTTCAACTGTTCCGATAAACGCTTTTCCGTATCTTTTATTATTTCTTTTCGCCGCGAAGATTAGTCTTGTTCTCTCCCCTTCCCCCTTTTTGATTTATTCATTAGATTCATCCGAGGTCGGGATAGCCGCTTCACCTCACCCTCACCCTCACCCTCAACCTGTTGATTCGAGATCCAGCATGACGTCATTAAGTTTCGTCACGCCTTCAGCGGATTGGATGCGCCGTACAAATATGTATTTTTCTTTATTCGCTAGATAAAAGCAGACGATAGCGATATTTTTCGCGTTTTTTTTTTTTTTTTTTCAGTCGCAGAACCGCAGTAAATATTTTATTTTTTAGAACTGAGCAGCTCGCAGGGGAGTGAAGTGATAAGAGAAGTTTGAATTTAGAATATACAGTAGAAACTATCTTAACTGTCAGCAACAGAACTGCACCGATTACGGATAAGAGACTTTCCGGATTATTAGCCCAAAGGGCGTTAAAAGGGCTGTTAATTTCGTTTTGGCATTTTGCGTGGGTTCACTATAAAACTCTGAATCACTTTTCAAATTGCTGGCAGCAAATATTAGAGCCCTGCATTATATTTAAAGAAACTGAATAATGAAGAATCTGCATGAATAGATGTATGTTTCTCGCACTGCGAAAAAACGACGGTACCTACAGCAATCAAATTTTTAATAACGTAATCCTCCATTCAAATATGAGCATCTGTAAGTCCAAATTTTGAATTTGTTTTATTATTTATTTACTTCACAAGTCTTGTAAAACTTAACCAATTTTTGATTAACAAACTGAACGATTTCAAAGCGTTCCGTTAACATTAACATCACGTCCATCTCCAAGCACGAATATTTTATGCGCGAGGTTTCTTTACATTTCTTACTGGTATTATGTTGGTAGCGTAGCAACGCAAAGACGTTACGATATCTAACGGTATTTTGCATCGAATGACTTTGAATGTCTGTATCGTTTTTCAAATCCCATTTTGAATCCCCCCGTGAAAAAAACTCCCCTTTGGGCTTAAATATAAAATCTGAAAACTTTCAATTTTTTTTTTGGGGGGGGGAATATATAAGTTCTCGAACTTGCCAGTTTATGCTCCATATTATTTAAAATATATGCACATGATTTTGTTTTACAGAAAAACATAATTAATCAATATTTTAAAATTGCCATACGTATTTTCACACGAAAGTTTGATGGATATAATTTCGAATGTCTGCCTGCTTACAGCACTATCGGCGTAGTTTCAAAAATTCACTGAGATGAAAATGAAGCATCATAACATGTGTTGTCATAAAATGGATATTTCCGCCAAAATTTTCGAAAATCTGCTGCCCTTCTACAGCTTCTTTCCACGTGACTTTTTTTGCTGTGCATGACGTTTTCATCATGCCCCTTCTCCTTCTTCTCTTCTTCCCCCTTCTCCTCTCACCTTTTCCAGTACATGTCCAATTATTTCCTCGTCATCTCGAAAGAGTGTAACTTCAACAAATACAGGATGAAGCAAGGCCGGCACTTTTGCATCCAAGTAGGTATATTAGGTATCTCCGCATCTTGCTAATTACTATAAACCGGATGGAAAAAAAACAGGGTATCATATTTTAACGAAAATACCCATTTTCTTTGAAAAATGGATATTTCACTCTCCAATCGATTTGAACAATGTTTTTCGTGACATCTGTACGCAAGGACTATTTCCCAAAACGCGAATAAAAGACTGTTCCCAAAACGGATTGTCAAATGAATTTAAAAGGGATTCAGAAGGGATTTTTTTCTTGACATCTATACGTACGTACGTACGAATGTATCTCGCATAGCTCAAAAACGAGTAGACTCAGAACGTTGAAATTTTGCATTTGGGACTGCTATAACAAGTAGTTGTGCACCTCCCCTTTTAAACCCCAAAAGTATATATATATATATACTAGCTTTGTTGCCCGGTTCGGTGAGCTCAGTTTTTAATTCTTATATGTTGGTAAATTGTGCATTTTTTGCTTTAAGAGTGACTGAATCATGTTGTTCTTATCTAATATACAATTTAAAAACTGTTTAAGTGGTACTAAGCCTAAGGAAGCCGCCATTTGTTTACATATGAGACTTTTAGTAGAATAGTGAAGTAAGTCAGTTTCTACACCAACGTCAGTGCCTTTTTCCTGAGTGGGATCAAAATTAAACTTTCGGTTTTGGGCACCGAAAGATCTGCCTTCTCGTCCGCTGGCCGAATTGCTTGTTTTTGTGTAGAAACTCTGATTTTAATTGTAATTTTTTTAAAACTGTTTTAACTGTATTTGGTGCTTTATGTTTATCTGTTATTTTACAATTTTTAACAAAGATGTTTTGAGTTTTTATGTATTTTTGCTTTCCCGCAAAGAGAGAACTGAATTAATTGAATGACAAATATATCTCTAATAAAATTTCGAGGAACTAAGTTTAAATAAAATTCAGCAAAAAATGTGTATAAGTTAAAAGGCCATACAAGAAAGTCATGTGGTGTCTACATCAGATATTTTTTATTGGGAACCATTTAAGAAAGGCTTCTTCGACTTTTTCATCATCCTAATTCTCAGCCTTTTAAAAAAATTTACAAATTTAAACTTTCGGTTTTGTGCACCGAAAAATCTGTCCTTTTGCTCGATGGCCGAACTACTTGGTTTTTCTTAGAAACGCTAATTTTAATTGTGTTATTGTTATCATTTACGTGTTCCGCCTTAAGGCACTGCACAGAAGGAAGGGATGTTTTCAGGGAGGACTTTCTAAGGGAAACTGGCTCGTATTTAATACGTTACACATGGGGAAAATGACGAAAACGTGCATGTAGCCTGCCCGTTCGCGGGATTCGAGCCTCGGACCGAACTACAGGCGTTCAGGGACCTTACCGCTCGGCCACTGGTGGGCCTAATTTTAACTGCAGAAATTTTTTAAACGGTTTTTAACTGAATTTGGTGTTTTATATTTTTCTGCATTTTACAATTTTTAATGAAGATATTTTGAATTTTTATGCATTTTTTCCTTGCCGCGAAGTGAGAACTGAATTAACTGTATGAGAAATATATCTGTAATGAAACTCAAGGAAATAAGTTTAAATGACATGCAGCAAAAAAATAGGTAGTATAAATATAATGGGTCGTAATGGAAGTCATGTGGTGTCCACATCGGATTTTTTATCTTGATTGGGATTTTTTATCTTGATTACACACAATTTGCCTGTTCAGATTTCATGCTATTTAATGAATAAGCTATGATAAGGAAGTTCTAATCAGAACGTGTAACACTTTGCAGTTATCTTCACATATTGTCAAATTGAATGATAAAGTTTATTTCAACATTAACCATGTTACGTTATCGAACAATAACTGACATATTAACACCTAACTCATGGCCTTAATATAAAATAAATTTAATCTGATGTATGCTCCTTATTTTCAATTTATTAATTTCAAACTTAAACATAATTTTTTCGTCGAATGAAAGTAATATTTTTCATTTGACTAAATGCGAAATCTGGCATAGATCTGTTAGCAAAGAGTTTTTGTTTCAATGGATGCACAGAATGAGAATTGTCTTAAATAAGCAGAGATTAGTTGATGCTTACCTTTAGTAGTTTTAGATTCTGATATTAACGCTCTACAGCATATTACTTCTTATGAAACTAGCGGGCTTTCTGAATCATCGAAAGTGCCCTAGTATCATTATAATATCCACATCGTTTTTAAGAAATTAAATTTTTTCTTTCGTGGAAAAATGACTTTTAACAGGAAAAGAATTGTTATTGAGCTAAAAATTTTCAGTCATATGCCTATTATTGTATATCAGACATACATGGCTAACAAAAAATCATAATTCACGGTTAGTACTTTACACCAAAGCTACACTCGTGTGTAAAATTAAGAGAATTTGCACATTATGTCGAATTTCTGAAAAACCTAATGGAGAGATTTTAATGAAATTGGTATGAATATACACTTTTAACAAATAAAGAGCTGTAACATTCAAAAGATGTTTTATGTACGCATGATTATCAATAAAGCTCATAGTGCAGGGACATCTACAATCTACGTTGTGATATCGAACTAAAAATGAGTCTAACATGGGGTAAGGTCCCTTTTACAGCCAGACTGGTCGCACAGTGAAACAGCAGTGAAGTTGAAACAAATCTGGAATGGCTCTCGGAGAGGGGTGACGAGATGAAATTGCCCTCCCAGAAGTGTCCCAGACATGCTGTATAGTGTTGAGGATAGGAGATCTGGCTGTCCAAATCAATGCGGCGAATATCCTCATTTTCCAGGTAATCGTTGACCGCTTGAGCCCTATATGGACAACAGCTGTCGTCCATTAACAGGAACCCAGGATCAACTGCACCCTTCGACTAGATGCAACTGCATCCAGTCGAAGAGAATATGCAAACAGCAGGTCTTCGAGCATATAACCTTACCTCATAAAGCATTCGGGCAACTGTAGGCCGTGAAACCCAGGTTCCAGTGGCAGCATATAACTCATATGAGAGCTCTGAAGCTGTAACAGTCCTGTATCGTCGGCAGTCGATTCCACTCCTGCAGGAACGCATTTTTCAAATTCAGGATGGTTATCGAAGAAGGATGGAGAGATGAAATTGCCCTCTCAAGAGTGTCCCAGACACGCTGCATAGAGCTAAGGTCAAGAGATGCAGCTGATCAGTCCATGTGGCGAATATGCTCATTTTCCAGGCAATCGCCGACCAGATGAGTTCTACGTGGACTAGCGATGTCGTCCATTAACAAGAACTTAAGACCAGCTGCGTCTGTCTAAAATCGAATATAGTGCTCTAAGATATCTTCTCTATACCTCATAGCAGTCAGGGAGCCTTTGTCAAATACCTGCAGGGATGTGCGGCTGTCCAACATAAAACCTATACAAATAATTGCAGCTTCAG